GCGGACTGTCCGGCGCCACCAGGATCACCGACCTCCTCTCCTGTTCGATCCTCCGCAGCAGGACCGGCAGGAGACGCACTGGTGGGGAACGCGTACAGCAGGCCCCCTGGCCAGGGGTAATGAGCCAGAGCGTCCACGTCTAAAGGCGGCTGGTCCGCGGCCCTTGAGGCGAACCAGGACGGGCACTGTGCGTTTCCTGCACTGGCGAAAAAGGTCGACCACTGGACGGCCGAACCTCCGCCAGATCTCCGCAGCCACCCCTGGGGCCAGGCCCCACTCGTCCTGGAGTGGGCCCCCCCCCCTGGACATCCTGTCGGCCCCCACGTACCGGACCCCCGGGACGTGGCGCGCCCTGAGAGACAGGAGGTGAAGCGCCGCCCACAGCAGCGTCACCTTTGCCATGCGATGGAGAGCGGGGGACCTGGTGCCCCCCTGCCTGTTCAGATAGGAGACCACTGTGGTGTTGTCTGAGCGCACCATCACGTGTCTCCCCTGCAACTGAGGGGCAAAGTGCAGCAGTACTCTGTGCACTGCCTCCATCTCCAGCAGGTTGATGTGACGGGCTGAGTCCGACCAGCAGCCTCCTACAGAACTCTGGCCGAGGACCCCGCCCCATCCTTCGAGCGACGCGTCCGTGAACATCTCCACGTGAGACACGGCGCCGGCCAGAGTCACTCCGTCCCGTAGAAGACCCGGAGTGAGCCAGAACCTGATGTTCGATGCTGCCACTTGGGGAACCCAGATCAGCCTCCCCCCGTCCCGGGAGGGGTGAAGCCTGAGGCGTGAGAACCACCTCTGAAAATTCCTCATGTGGAGAAGGCCTAGCCGCACCACAGCATGAGCCGCCGCCATCATTCCCAGCAGGGACCTGAGGCGCCGAGCGGGGACTCTGGGGCCCGCCAGAACCTCCCCGGGCAGACGGGTAGTGTTCATCCGTCTGTCCACGGACCATGCAGCACGGAATGTCACAGAGTCTAGCTGCAGACCGAGATAGATCATGCGCTGAGCCGGTTGCAGCCTGCTTCTACGTCATGGTGCTACGTCCCCTAGCGGACTTCGCTAGTGGGATATCACGTGCACCTATTCGTAGAACTTAAGTTACAAAGGTAACTGTTAATTTTCTCCCTGTTAACCACAAAGCCCAGGCGCTGTATGTGGGACAGGACCCAGTGCGTATGACTCACGGCCACTTCCCTGGATGAGGCCAGAATTAACCCGACGTCTATGTAGATTAATTCTTACCCCTGCTCCACGGCGCGAGTGCGTAGCCCAAGGGGAAAACGACAGTACTCGTAATTCCTCTCTCCCACTGCGAAGCGCAGAACCTCCTGTGTTCCGGTACTATCGGCACGTGGAAGTACGCATCTGTCAGGTCTATGGAGCACATCCAGTCTCCTTCCCTGACACACTCGAGGAGCTGCCTTGTGGACAGCATCCGAAACTGGCGTTTGGAAATGCACTCGTTTAACACGCGCAGATCCAGAATGGGACGCACCCCGCCTGACTTCTTTGGCATTAAGAAGTAAGGGGAGTACAGCCCCCTGGTGGCGTCCTGCGGGTCTACCTCCACTGCTGCGCCTCGACTCAGCAGAGAGGAGACCTCCGCTTGTAGTGCCTCTGTCGATCCCCGTACCTGAGAGCGTACTGCCCGTACGCCTCGGAATGGTGGTGGCCTTCGGAAAAATTGCAGCGCGTAACCTCTGCGCAGAGTTTTCTCCAGCCAAATATCTGTCAGTAGGCCCTGCTCCCTCCAGATGTTGTATAAATCTGTGAGGGGCGGAACGGGAGATGGAACACGAGACGTCACTGCCCCGCCCTCTCCTGGTGTTCCTAGCAGGGAGGGGGGGTGGACGAAAGGGCCGGGGGGCCCCCTGCGTCACACTGTGAGCGCCGGGGGCGGTCACGTGTCCTGCAGGCCCGACGTCATAAGTACGGGACTGCTCACCACACGTGACTCGGCTGCTGTGCCCCCCCCCTGGCTCTTGCCTCATGGAGGGGGGGGGCGAGCCCCTGGAGTGGGAAACCCCGTGTCAGTCCTGTAGCTCTGCTCACCACACGTGACTCGGCTGCTGTGCCCCCCCCCTGGCTCTTGCCTCATGGAGGGGGGGGGCGAGCCCCTGGAGTGGGAAACCCCGTGTTAGCCCTGTAGCTCAGAAATGCTAACACGCGTTCGGCCGAAGCACACACATATCACTCACCAGATCCCTCCGCCTGACCTCTCTCTGGGAGGGCATAGTATGGATCAGAGAAACCGGAGCTCGTAGTGCCCTGCACGCCCCTCTCTGGGGCTGCAGGCCTAGCGAAGCAACGTTATGTGCCCGGGAAGTAACACAATCAGAATTCACAATATTTGACATGTTACATACCCCCAAATCAGACTCAGAAAAGTAATGGAAATGCCGGTCGGCCTTTATTGAAGGAAAAATTTTTCCACCCCGGCCTCCTCTACCATAGGGAGGTCGGTGGTGGGTGCGTTGCTCCCGCGAGCCACCCATGGGTCTGTCTGGACCCGGGGGCCTCGTCAAGGGGGGACGATGGATAACAGAGCGCGGATACGGGTCAGGATGCCTCCCGGGCCAACGCTCTCTGCCTCTGTCCCGGCTCCGTAATGGCTGGTGGGCCTCGCGCCTCGGTGCTAGGTGCGGGGCTAGCCTAGCCGAGTCTTTAGCTGCAGACTCCAGTCTCGCCACCCAGGCCTGCATGTCCGGGCCGAAGAGGGACATCTGAGAGGTGGGCAGGTCCAGCAGCTGCCTCCTCTCCGCCTCCCTGATATTAGCCAGCCCAAGCCAAAGGTGCCTGGCCCGACTTGGGCTGCTGCCATGGAGCGGCCACCATCCACAGCTAGCGTCTGGCACATGCGCAGAGACGCCGCCGAGGTGGTCCTCGCCTGTGACAGGCAACATATCCAGGGCCCCCGTGATGAATGCCATGTAGTTAGTCAATGCGAGGACCTGTGCTGCAATGGCATAACATCTATCCGGCATCGCCAAGACATCCTGTCTCGCTCGGAGGGAAGGAGAGGTCTGGTGCCGGGCCACACGAATGCGGAGGGCTGCAGGGCCATGCGGACTGAATCCTCGGTGTCCTGGCCACCATCCACGGCTAGCGTCTGGCACATGCGCAGGAACGCCGCCGAGGTGGTCCCCGCCTGTGACAGGAGGTCTCCACTGAGCGCCTGGCCAGAGGAGAGCGACCTATCCAGGGCCCCCGTGATGAAAGTCATGTTGATAGCCAATGTGACGACCTGTGCCGCATTGGCATAATATCTATCCAGCCTCGGCAAGACATCCTGTCCCGCTCGGAGAGAAGGAGAGGTCTGGTGCCGGGCCACACGGATGCGGAGGGCTGCAGGGCCATGCGGACTGAATCCTCGATCACCGGTCCAGGACCAGTCCTGCATGCTGCAGTATATGTCGTACCCCAGAGCAGGCCTCTTGGCTGCTAGGGGCTTAGGCCACTCACGTGTCGCGTAATGGACGAACGGGTCCATCCGCGGGCACAACGTGGGTTTTAACCTCCTCCTCCCTCGAGTGGTGGCGCCCACAGAGGTGAAGTCCTCCACCGTCTGGATCCAGTGACGACGTCCGACGCCGGAGGGCGAAGGGAACTCGGACGAACAAGGAAGACATCTCAGAATGAATTAAGTACTGTGGTAGATCTCGAACGGCGCCAGAGTGAAAGAGGGGGTGCGGCCTTGTGCAGGGGCATTTATAGAGGAAGGTGGCTGGTGATTGGAGCAAATTATTTTGATCTCTCTGGCGCGTGACCTGGGGGTCACGAGTGATATCCCACTAGCGAGGTCCTAAGGGACGTAGCACCATGACGTAGAACCGCACAGTTTATCCTCCAGGCTACGAATACCCACTCTCCAAAGGAAGGCACAGAGCAAAAAAGGTGATGGTTTCTCTGGGTAAGATAGTAAGGGACGCATGCAGACAAGGCAGCAGAAAGGACAGAAAAGAAGCACCATGTTGTTGGTGAAGAGTAAATTGTGTGCAAATAGAATTTCACCATTGTCCCATGTTTACAAACCATGATAAAGCTTCTTCTAAAAATGTCAGAATGACATTACCTGCGCTGCAGACAAAATTAGCACATTTTTGTACCTCCTTAACTGGTGCTGTTGTAAGATCCCAAAGATGTTTATATTTAAGTTGGGTCAAAATCCAATATTTATTTAATGTTCAATAGATTTATTTATCATGTTGTTTTAATGTAAAGTTTTGTTTTATTACCATATTTTTTTAATTGACACTTGCAATAAAGTTCATAAATGTGGTGTCTATTTTTGTTTGTGTTTTTATATGTCTCACTTTTTGCACTACAATAATATACATGTGAAGGAAATTGCATTATTTATAAAAAAGAAAAGGCTTATAAATGTAGAAAGGCCACTCGTATCCTGGATGAGTCACGTAACAAAACATGAAAAAAGATCCTTATACATTGGTTGTGGAATCAGTTGGAAGAGCATTTGTCCAACTGGAGGAGGACTATTGCTGGCGATGTGGCTTTATTACGGTTATACATTTAAATCAACGTCACTGAATGGCATTGATTTCACAACATAAGTTTTAAATCCCAAAAGTATTGTATCTACACTGACATCTTAATAACGTTCTCTGGAACCATGTGGCTCTTTGGTGAAGTGCTCGAGCGTGTACATTGTCCTAACCTCAATTTGATTTTGATTTTTCAAAAAGGTTCAAAATCAATTCATTATTGACAATTCATCGATTTGTTCAATTAATTGCCCAGTCCTAAGTAGGGCTTAGAATCAGTGTGAAGATTGGGTGGCAGCTCTGTTTGCCACACAACCCAGAAATGGACAAATAAAGGGGCTGAAAATGAATCTGCTCAATTTAATTCTTAGCAAAGAATAACATCTGGCTCTAACCAGACCTGTGGTGGACCGGACCAGAAAAGTTTCAGTGTTCCTTCTATGGTATAATATGATTGCCTCCTATTTCTCATCTTCTACATTTGTTGTGTCCATACAGCTGTGAGAGAGACACTGGAGACACGCGGGGTCCTGGGACAGCTCAAGGCTCGGATCCGGGCCGAGGTGTTCAAGGCTTTGGAGGAGGACAAGCAGCCCCCACGTCCTCCGCAGCTGTCCCACGAAAACCTCCTCATCAACGAGCTGATCCGGGAGTACCTGGAGTTCAACCAGTACAAGTCCTCTGTCTCCGTGTTCACAGCAGGTGCAGCAAGACCCAAGCTTTTACTAAATATGGGACTAAAGAAGTAATTTAACACTGTTTACTGCATTAGACACAACGCCCCTTTTCTAATCTGTATATAGAATCAAGATTGATGGAGAATCAGAGAGGACATATTAATTACAGAATAGTTAATACTAGCCATAAATTATAGTTTGTATTCGGAATGCCATGTGCACTTGATTTGGCATTGATATTGATTTGGATATTATTATTGCGTAACATTGATATCTCTTTACCAGGCTCCTAACTTTGCTTTGTATTTTTCCTTCCCGTTTGCATCAAGCAAAGTAACTATTCAGGATAGAGATGTAATTTACTCAAAATTAAATAAAGATTATTTACTTACTTAAAATTAGTTTTCTGAATACCATACATATAATATCTGTACCTGTAATTTTGACAAATTCTTTGTGTTATATCATTGGATTGACTTTTAGAATGTAATATATCAGTTTGTGGAAATACTACTAATACAGTTGAAACCAATGCAAAAATAAACCCTTGATTCTGTTTAACAATGTCTCCATTGATGCTGTGAAAGCCTTAATTTAAAAAATGGGTTACACACTGAGGTTTCAGACACCACGAGACGAACGAGCCAACGGTTATATTCAGGGTAAATAAAACATGTAATTTCTCAGTGTTTTGAACCAGAGTAACTCTCACCTGAGGACAGCTGCAGCCCTCGAACCCATTGCCCTCAGTGGTTGCATATTTTGTGTGTTTTGTCAGACTGCTGCTCAGAATTCAAATTTTAGCTGCTATTATGAAACCATGCTACAATGATGTTTGTGTTTTCAGAGTCAGGTCAACCTGAGGTTCCCTTAGGCCGACACTTTGTGGCAAATGAGCTGAATGTCGCAGAGGATGTGAGCTCCAAGTCAGTGTAAGTTTAAAAATGTCTTTCATAGTTATTCAATTGGATTGAATCAAGTTGTATTACGGTTATAAATGTATTATATACATTGTTACAGAACAGTAACTTTACAGCAGAAAGACCAACACGGTTTTGCTAATACTTATTATGTTTACCATTTGTTCAAGCAACTGTGCAAACATTAAGATTCTGAGTTCATGTAGCCAAAATTATAGTTTTAAACTTATTTTTGAAGTGGAAAAGTGCATCAATTCCAGAGATCAACTTCTCTAACAGATAAACATTTCTTTACATTAGTTCTAAATTTCTGCTTTATGAACACATCTGTTCCTCTCAAATCATAATGGCTGTCTCTGATTTCTGTATTGATTTTGATAGGAGGTCATTTTTGATTTTTAACATTCGTATCAAAGTGTAAAGGTCGAATAAATCATAGAATGTCAAAGTTTGGAGATTTGTAAGCTAAGTGTGTGCATGTGCGTGTGTGTGTGAGTGCAGGTGTGGATGGATGAAGTGACTTGTCCTTTTATCCATCCAAACCTGCACACATTTAAAGAACCATATAATATATTTGGTGGTTAGTTATACTACAAAATGTGCAGTGCATGTTTTCTCACTGGTCACCCCTGTAACTTGGAGAAGGATGTTTATTGCACGAATTATTCAACAAAGAAACTCCTCTTCTATGTTCAGTTTAATGAGTGGCGCGTTTGTTGTGTCGCGCAGGCCGCTCCTGTACGGACTGGTGTCTCACTTTGCGAACAGCGTCGACGGTGGAAGGAAAGTGTTTCTAAGGGGGTCGTCTACAGCCCCCACTGACACCTGAGTATTCATACAGTTATTTTGTACAGCATCAATTCATTTAGAAACACATACTTTTTTCAGCTGCAATGTTCCCTTCTTATGTTTTGTGAGTTTTAATAAACCGTTTTATATTTTTTCTAATCAAGTATCTCCTGTTTTTTCATTTAACACCACCAGAGGGCAGTCACAACATAGTTATCCCAGCCCTTCAGTCCCAGAAACATAAAATTTAGAATTCCCTGTTGTATAGATTTGTTTTGAACATGTATCAACCATTGTGCTGCCGATCCCACACGTGAGAAAATGTGAAGCCCAGGTACCTTATCTCTCTTTGAATCTGTTAAACATTTATACTTCCACAGCCAAAAGCTCTTAACCTAAATGTTTACTACTGTTACTCAACCACTTGTACTACCCAAACTCCAGTCTCATTACAATGTATAATGGTTTTATGTCCGGCCGCTTTACCATACATAGAAATATCATGACAACTGTATTATTATTATTTATTTTTTATATATTAACAGGTCACACACCAAAATAAAAATAAAATGGCTTTATCAATCCCACCCCCAACCCAACCAAACTCATACATTCACTCATTCATGCTCACATTCTCACAACATATCTGTCTTACAAATATTATTATTACTTATTGTATTATTATTATTATTATGTATGTATTTTCATTGTTATTATTATGTATGTATTATTATTATTATTATTATTACTATTATTACTATCTAATCACTCTATACAACCACGAGGGCTGTTTTAAGAACAAAGTTATTTGGAAAACATCTTGTGGGATTTATTTATATATATTTGGGGGATGTTTTTCCACTTGAAAGACTCCTAATTACCAAAATATGTTTGAAATTGTACCATGAACATGTGTGCCGCGGAGATCTGTGCTGGAAACTTAACAGGCTTTTATGTTTTGGACTTCCTCTCTCTCCATCTAAGGGAACGCAACTTTCTTATCTCACCCCACCTAAAGCCCCCAAGTCTCAGGAAAAGATTACACGATGGGATTTTAACAGGCTGATGTAGATGTGCTGCTTTTTGTCGTTTAGCCTTGAAAAACAATATATTTCAACATATTCACAGAATATGCGAGAGTAGCTCAGTTGGTAGAGCACTGGCCTGTAGGCCTGAAGGTCGTGGGTTCGAGCCCACCATAAGACCTACTTCACGACTCCCACTGATGACTGCTGTCGTTGTGTCCTTGGGCAAGACACTTAACCCCACTTTGCCTGAAGCCTGGACTCACCACCTGCAGGAGGATCAGTGAGGGGCTGGTGCTCTGTGAACTGGGTGCAGCTCTGACTGCCACCCCCCCAACCCAGAAATGGATTAAGGGGAAGAAAATGGATGGATGGATATTCACAGAAGTATTTGGGGGAAGAATCTGTGAAACTCGGTCAAGAATTCCGTACTATACAACACTGTGGCTGTGTGATAGCAATTGGACTGATGTGTGTATCATTCAACTCTTCAAAAAACTGAATGATACTAATGACGTCCATGAACACATGCAAAACAGTGTGCAACAATATTTAGGCAAGTTTATATGTATAGCACAGTTCATACACCAGGCAACTCAAAGTGCCCTTCTGTTGTGTGCTTAGTAAAACCTGTTTTTAGCCTGCCTTATAGTTTGCCCTCTCTTGGTCATAAAGCAGATGTTAAGTTGAGTTACCATGTTATTTGAAAATACTACCATGAAATACAATGCAATAGACATATGCGACAGTTTTTCTATAATTTTTTAACTTCAAAGTGGCTTTTTTTAGCCAATCCAAACAGGTTTACCTCTTACTTTTAATTTTTATCTTATGAAATCTAGGGACAGCCAAACAAATCATGGTGGCTGCTGTGGCGTTTGTACGACTGATGTTTGCCTCTGGCTCAAATTAGATTGCATTTGCATTCCTCTGGGGTCAAACATATCCATAAACATATTTTCTTCACTTGTCCTTCTATGGGAAAGGCCCAAAAGAAAATTTGTTACATCATTATTGTTATTTCTGTCACACACAGTAGGTTTTGTGTTAATTGATTTTCTTGTGTGCTGCTTTTAATTGTTACTCCTAAATATTTCTTCCTTATAATTTTATTATGTAATGCCCACATAATTTTACATGGTCATCAGTCACTATTCCTCTTTTCTTTACTCTTCTATTCTGTATTTTGTTTTTTCTTTTTAGGCAAAATGTTGAGACTTCTTTCTTCAGAAGAAGAAGAAGAAGATATACTTTATTGATCTCGCAATGGAAACATTCTGTTTGATGAATAGTCCAATACACATACACATCAAGACATGCAGCGTACTGTTACTTTCGCGCTCTTTATAGGCAAAGTGGGGTAAAGTGTCTTGCCCAAGGACACAACGGCAGGAGACAGCAGTGGGAGTCAGTGGAGTAGGTCTTGCGGTGGGCTCGAACTCACAACCTTCAGGCTCCAAGGCGAGGTAGAGCATCAACCGAGCCACCGTCACCATTAATATGGCTTTAATGTAGCAGGCGAGTTCAACGTTACGGCACGTACGGAAAAGTACATATATACGGGTCTAAGATCAAAAATTTTAGTTATTAATCAATGAGGAGCCATTCTTAATGATAGTATCGGTTTGACAGAAGAATATATGGACATACTCTCAAACTGGACTGGATTCAAAGTTTAAACAAATCTTCAAAGTGCACTCTCCAAGTGATTATCAATAAGAAAAGACATCATTTGATTAGCTCCCTACATTAGATAGATTAGAAACACTCCTTTCCCTTCAGTGATGCGGGAGGACGAGCCGCAAACCATTTGGCTCAATGCTACTAAATAATAAGACTGATCCCATAGAGGCGACTTTGTTTGTTTGAACAATAGTAATGCCGTTGGACCATATTTAGTCACCAGCAGGGCCTGAGGTGCTGCCCGACTCTGCTGAGAGGAGCACAGAAAGCTGCAAAGATTCCTCACAGATCCCATTGTCCTTATATGGCACAGACCGCAGACTCTGTTCAGTATCTGCAGCCCCCGACCCCCCCTTCCCACACACACACACGCACACACACACACACACACACGCCCTGTCCTCCCGTCTGCATCCCTCCCCTCTGCGTCGTCCCAGGATCTCAGAGTTTTTCATGTTTCTCAAGGACACAGAAGATGCATGAGGGCTTAAAAGATGGAGGGGAGAAATATTTGAAGTTTTGGTTAAAGGTCGGTCTGTCATACAACACAGTAATCTATGTAAGAACCATAATATATCTTCATTTAGGGTTTAACTTTACCTGTCATCAGAGGTGGTTGCCAAAATCGGGTCAAAATAATACCATTAACAACTGTGAAAGTACAGGGTAAGGTATTGCCTCTATAAGAAAAAAAGTTCTCTACATTCTATCCATCTTTCCAATGCCTCCAGAACAACCTGTAGATACTTTATTGTCATTCAGACATTGGTCTTAAAGCAGACACCACACCATCTCTTGATGACTTGGTGATACTGAGCTTGAATACCTTGGCTGGATGAGCCAAAGGGAGTGAAGCCTGCTCAGACTGCCGCCCATGTGACCGGGCAACGGATAAAGCGGAGGATAATGCACAATCCTAAACACAGTCAAGTTTTGCCACTGGTTTACTGTTGCAACGACACATCATCAGGAGGGTAGAACCAACCTGTGTGATGGTCCATGCCAGCTCACATTCCCTATTAGTTGGTGAATACTCCAATAGCCATACAGTATAGTCCTATGTTTTTGAAGTGCTTTTCCATTATTTATATAATACACCGTGTTTGGAATTTAAAAGGGCTATTGTTTCTCTAAACCCATGGATACGTTCAGAATAAATCTAATATTAAACCACATTCAACCGATACATTTTTGAATCGACTTTTGCTTTGGCTGCATTTACAACGTTGTCCATTTACAGGTGGCTCTTATGCAGTTACTGTGCAGGCCTTTGTTCCATCATCAAGTTTCACACACACATACCAGCACTAAACAGGCCTGCACTCACTTCCAACACTTTGATTTATTTCAGCAAATACAAGAGTGTCCTTATATAGAAAGTTCCAGAGCAGAGGAGCAGCAGACAGGACTGGGATGGGGCAGGATTTGAAGAAATGTGATAACAGCGGTAGATATGTCTGGGATGTATACGCACTTAAATTGACAGGTTTATTGTGAAAATATCGAGTAATGTAGTGGTGCCCTTTCTGATGCTTTTAACAATCAGGGCGACAGCAGGCTTCCTTATGAGGAGCGGGAGGAGGTTGGGGTTTTCTGTTTACAAATGACAGCTCCCTCAGCTTCATTATCCTGCATCATTTTGTATATATTAACTTACCCTGTTGGATTTTCAAACATCAGTTGACAGCCATGACTCCAACTCCCTTCTAATCGTAGGGTGAGTGTTTGGGACAGTGTCTTGTCAGTGTCTGAGAGTGTGTGTCGTCTTGTTTGTCCCATACCATCAACGGTTGTGTCATTGTATTTCTGTATGTACTGAACAACTGTGGGTCATATCTGGAGGGAACTGGAATCCCATAGCGCCAGCTTCATCCAAACCATTTACATATGTCTGTTAAGTTGAATGATGTGTAAAAAGTGTTTGAAATAATCATCTAAATGTAAATCCTCTTGTGACAGAGGTTGATAATTTTGTGGATGACTTGATTAAATAATAAAGCAGACCATTGGACGCATACATGGTTTTCTTAATGTTTATTTCCTTTCTCCCTTTTACACTTTTACACTAAAACCCTGGTCATCTGCAACTTTCTGTTTCTCCATCTTTCATCTGCTGTGGTGCGGACTGCGCCTGCGCACTGCCTCCGCTGCAGACCTGAGCTGTGAGCACGTGGCTCCTCCTCTTTCTATCATCAGGAAACTTTAAATGTTACGTCTCTGATTGAGACGAGGGTCATTTGGACTGTTTCTGTTGGAGTACCTCGTCACAGCCTCTCGTAACTTCACCATCAATTCAGTACAACAAACCGGATTTTTCATTATGTAAGTAGCGTTTTTTGTTTGTGAAGAATTCTCTAACAAGTTAGCTCATCTTTGTATGGTTTGCTAGACATCTATAACAAAATAACTCCAAATGTGCCTCAGAACTGGAAAAGCTGTAGCTGGCGTGTTTTATTTAATTTTAGCTAAACAGTGTCAGTATATTGCAGCAAAAAGCAAGGACAATAAAAGTTATAGGAAGTTCAAAGTGAATATCAGCAGCCAAATTGACCACCAAATTTCCTGTTTTCCAAATAAGGTCATGTCAGACAGTTATGTGAGCTGCTACAGAGAGAGACCACTTTGAGATACCTCTGAGACTCCAGTTCACATTATTACACTTGTTTATGATTTGCCTGCACCATGATTTAAGTCCTCACTGAAGCATTTTATCTTCAGAACCTCAAATCAAGCATATACAAAAGCCAAAACTGAAATATAATTTATCACATACTGCTCCATGTTCACTCTGATAAGTTTATGACAATCACTTTTAGCCAAGCATCTAAAGGAAAACCCCATCACCATTTCCTGTACTCTTGCTGTCCTTGTCAACTTGTTATTGCCCTAGTTTGAACTTGTCACAATTGTCAAGGCGCATAACAAACCCTTATTATAAAAATGACTTTGTACTGGAGTCTATTAACACAGACAGGAAGTCTATCAGTGAAGCAGCCAGCAGAGGAAATGATAAGCCTTTCACAGGACCTATGTCAACCACAAATGGAAAGGTCATTTTGTCTCAAGAGTGAAATGTGTTTATTTTGTGTTTTATTAGTGCATGGAATGTGCTTGTTTTGGATGGAACTGATGTGTAGTTCACAGTTGTATGCTGTCTACTGTATTGTTGATGTATTGTTGTGTCCTTTATAAGCAGTAGCAGATGGCTGTAAAGTTGATTCGGTCGCTCATCCATAAGAACAACAGTGCCTCGTGGACTTCCTAATCTCCTCTCTTAAGTCATCTCTTAAAGTTTGCTTCTTTGATTTGGTTTATCCCATCAGCTCCCGTCAGCAGCTCTGCAGACAGAGCGATTTAGAGATGTGTTGACACAACTCTCAGGAAGAGGAGGGAGCGTGTGATAATATTAAGATAAAGAGCCAGGCAAAAGTTTAAAGGGTTAGAAGCAGCGTGGACGGGAATGGCTTTTGTGAGTTTGGCCGACAAGTTAAGAAAGGTCAAGTTAGCCTAAACTGCGAAAGAAACACTCTCAAAGTATTTTACAACAATATTCAATCTTGGCTACTGTATTCCAATAGCTGTTTTTGCTGACTAAAGAATGACATTCCTGCTGTGAGGGTGGCTCATCACACATCTGTTTGTAAATTGGTCCGGTGATGTTGCCTGATGGCCTCCACTCTGGAGATGTGGTTTTGTGCCATATTTTTAAACTTCTCAAGGCAAAGAAAGTGAATCTCCAAGAAGATTAACTATGGTTAGTACACAAGGCAGACACAGCCTCAAATATGAGAGTTATCAATTAAAACATAAACAATATGAATCAGTAATATATGAATATAAATACTCATATATATTCATTAGGAATACTTTGATTATGAATTATAACGACATTCAAAGCTGGTTTCCTTTCAGCATCAACAGCTTGTCAAATGTCATAACTTTTCATGTTTAACTCATTAATTCATTTTCAAGCCCTTTATTGTCCATTTCTGGGTCAGGGGGGTGGCAATGAGAGCTGCCACCCAATGGTCATAGCACCAGTCCCTCGCTGATCTTCTGCAGGGGGTGAGTCCACAGGAAGATGGCTGCTCTGTCAGCGGTGAAACAGCCTTGGTCTTTCAGCGGGGGCTTCAGGCAACGTAGGGTTAAGTGTCTTGCCCAAGGACACAACGACAGTAGACATCAGTGGGAGCAGTTGGAGTAGGTCCCATGGTGGGAATCGAACTCACGACCTCCAGGCTCAAAGGCCACTGCTCTACCAACTGAGCTACTGTTTAACTCTTGATTCATTATTTCATCAGCTCTTGAAAGTTCCAGCTTCATTGATCCCTTGGGTGCATTCTTATATTTTCTCAAGTTTATTTTCCCATACTTCCTTACTTCCCACTCAATTCCATCAGCGCTAGTTTTGAAGGTAGAAAAGCAGCAGCAGTTACTGCTTGGAGCACAGTAATTGTGAAACCCAAGAGCTGAGAAACCACCCCTCAGCTCTTCAATAAGATCCAACATGGCACTTCATTACTGGGTTTTTATTGCAACCACGGGTCCTGTGGAGCAGGTCTCTGCAGTGTTTCATAGTTAGACACTTTATTCAAACAAATGTCCAATTAGAGATGTGTAATTCATCTCATTTGAATCTTAAATAAGAGACAGTTCAAATTGTTGTGAGTAGCTTGAGGATTTCCAATCAAGAACTCCACAATGAATGAGAAATCTGTTATGCCATAATACGCAGCTTCTCTGTCTTGCAGTTAAATGATCTCATGATTTTGCAGCCCCCATTACATCTCTATGTCAGCTGATGTTAGTGATGGTCGGAGGGTCTGATGGGCCTCACATCCATCAGTGAAGTGAGGCATCTGCACAGGCGGCCCATAAATTGCACAAAATTGTTTGTGCTGCATAACTTTTCAGTGTTTGTGTATTTTATCACCAACTAAGACAAGTGCACAGTAGTTCATTTACATTGAGGGGAAGTGGTTGCAAACTGTTTTATGATTGTTACATGAAGTTAACTTTGTGACAACCTAGTTTGAACAGTTCTCCTTTTTGATACATAGAACGTTAAATTTATTATTACCAAATTACTATTAATTTATCACCACAATCTCAACCATTATAGTCATTGAAAAGTCCTGGGTATAACTGTTGCCTGCTCAATCACCAGAGCAGCTTTGAACATTTCCCCTGATGCCTGTGATCCAAACAGATGCAGTTCAGACAGTATTCCATGTAAACTACAGTATGCTTGCTGCAGCCCCCTCGGCCTCAGTGCCTCGCTGTTATCATTTTGAAGTAAACGGCAGAGCAGTCAGAGACATACTATTCCCTATAAGGCCTTTGTTTGGGACAGAACTTGCCGCGCTGTTTAGGTCCGATGAAAAGAGCGCAGCCACAGAGAAGGAGCCCATATATGGTCATCACAGCACGAGACTCTGAGAGGGAGAGACAGGGAGGGGAGCCAGGCATGGAAAAAAATGGATATTGTCAAATCAATTACTGTATTACATAATGATGGAACTAGTATATGTTGTGATAGTGATCATTTGGATAATGCTGTCAGTGCGGGAGGAAATATACTGGCATTTAGGTGATTTAAAACCATTATAAGAAATGACTAAGGTAGAAGACCTGCTTTCCACTGGGTTTGTACGAAATGTAGCATTCACAACAGTTCACAAATGCCCTATATAACCAGTATAGACTGCTGGCTTAGTTTGTGGGTGGAGGCCTAGGAGAGAAGGAGCATGAAATCTTCAAAGGGCCAAATATGTGGTTAACTCTTCAAGGTACAAATACAACAATATCTGGAGGGCCTGTCTTTATACTGTTTCTCTGACATTTAGCAGTCTCATTTCTAATCACAACTAATTGGACAAATGAAAGACTAGGGTCCATTATAAGCTTATTTACATTTAGCGCTTGTGTAATTCCGATTCTATACTTTGATTGAAAAGAAAATTAAGCATAAGACATATCCTAGTTCATTTTGTTGTAATGGAAATGACCTAAATTGCTGCAGATATCACTAACACAAATGCTTTTTTTTTCATTCTTTATTTATGACTTTTCATAGTTTATACAGAATAAAATACAGAAAATGTAGAGAACAAAGAGTGATGGATATTTAAGATAAAACATTTTTTATTTTTTTTATTTCACAGAGAAAAGACATCAAAAACGGCAATTCATTACATTTTTAGCTTTAAATTTGGTCTCTTTGCAATATGTGTATGTATGTTACACACTTACTCCAACAAGAATCTAACCAACCATGTGTGTGTGCCATTCCCATAAGCCCTCTGCTCCTCCATCTTATGAATTTCTATCATTATTTCCCACCATTGCGTCAAAGTTGGCATGTCCAGGGATACACAAATTCATTTTAAATAAAAGAGAGAAGCTCCACGTACCTCAAAGCTGGTCCAAAGATAAAAGAGTTCATTGATACATTCTGGTTAATGTCCTGTTTTGCAGCTGGCCCTCCTCCAGCAGCAGCCAACATGTCCAAGAAGGCCCCAGCTGAGGACGAGAAGTTCCTGTACGTGGACAAGGACACGCTGAACAACCCCATGGCGCAGGCGGACTGGGCGGCCAAGAAGCTGGTGTGGGTGCCGTCGGAGCGTCACGGCTTCGAGGCGGCGAGCATCAAAGAGGAGCGCGGAGACGAGGTGCTGGTGGAGCTGCACGACAACGCAAAAAAGATCACCGTGAACAAGGACGACATACAGAAGATGAACCCGCCCAAGTTCAGCAAAGTGGAGGACATGGCCGAGCTCACCTGCCTGAACGAGGCTTCTGTGCTGCACAACCTCCGCGAGCGCTACTTCTCTGGACTCATCTATGTGAGTACGATTAAGATTAATAGATCTTTTATTTGTCCCACAATGGGGAAATTTCAGTGTTGCATCACCAGTTACAGAACAGTAGAAATGAGGAGCACACAGCACAAGAGAGTACACAACAAATACAAGTTGTGACAAGAGATTGGACTTTCAGACGTAAGAATTATATTAAATAAAATTAAACAAATGAAAAATAAAACAAACATTTGAACATTTTTACATTTCTTTCAAAAATTGCTCCCCAGAGAATTGTATTGACTCCCGCCCAACTGAAATCATGGGCCAGTCTTGAAGTTTAGGGCAGGATATCCGGGTTTGATGAAAGCAAGCAGTGCCGCGCAGCAGGACAAATGCAAAGCTGAGGCTATGAAGTCAGTTTGAGCAGAATCTCCCATTTCTGTTTTGAAAGATGTTGTGTTGTGTTGGCTAGGTTGCCTTTACTCCACTAATTTGAGTAACAAAAACGGCAAAAGACATGATGACAAGGCAATCCAAATAAAACTAGTTTAGTCCTCCAGCGCAACACTGGGCGCACGCCGATGAAGACATTAATTTGTTTCTGTGATTGGCTTTAGTCAAACCGTGGTAGGCGGGCAAACAGCGTCACTTTGCCCAATCAGCTTGGAGTATTCTGCTGCCTGCCCCTTATTTCCCCGAAAAGATTCTCCTGCAAAGGTCCCAGATTGATATTGTGGAGAACTCATTTAATATTTCCATCTGTCTCGTGTATGTAAATATTAAATAGAGGATTGGTTTTCGGGAAAGTTATTCTTGTGTATAATTTAGTTGATAGACCAAACAAAACATCTGGAAATTTGTACTTTAAACTTCAATTAATCTTGAATTTGGTGTATGTGAAAGTTGGTGGTGGTCAGAGGGGCCAATAGCACAGATTGGCAGCCCCACTTTTGTCACTCTGCCCCAGGACAGCTATGGCTACAATAGTAACTTACCCTTGTTTGTGAAAAGCTCTATATAAGTTAAGATTCTTACTTACTTACTGTAGAGTGAATGTAAAACAGCTGCCTAAAGAAAACACATTATACACTTATTTATTGTATTAATTTATTTGAAGGAGACGGTGTGTGTTGAGTGTACACCAGAATTTGCATCCAAACTACTCCCACAATGAATTGTTTTTTTTTTCATCAGACCCTTTAATGCTTTGCCTTTGTGTCTTGTGTTAGTGTGGAGTGACACGTTTTTTTTATTTTTGTTTCATGCTTTTGTAAAATTAAAAAACAACAGAGATTTAGCATCGAAGCTGAAAATAAATGTAGTTTAGCGTTTGCAAGTGGTTCCTTAATGTCGTCAGCTCTGTCCAGGTGTTTCACAGCCGAGAATGAGTAATGCATCGTATTAAGAACATACCTATTGCATTATTCTTTGTGCTACACTAGTACACGTTATTGAATGTTGTCAGTCATTTTAATATTATTAGACCATAACTAAGATGGATTTCATACAGACGGGACACGGATTGAACAGTTGTTGAAAGGGCTTTGAGTCCCTTTTTGACATGTTGGGCTGAGAGCTGATTGTATGTGAAAACTAGTACAAGAAAGAAATGACTGTTAGGAACCTGTTAGATGGATCTGATTACATTGTTGAATGGTTTGATGTTTGAAAGTTATGTAACCCAGCTTTAACTACAGCCAACACATCAGTGCAGATGACTATGCAGAGATTAAAACATCTAATTAGGAGAGAATCTAATCAAATGTTGAAATGATTTTGGCTCATTTGTGCACGTTTCTCTTGCAGACATACTCAGGGCTGTTCTGTGTGGTGGTGAACCCGTACAAAATGCTGCCCATTTACTCAGAGAAGATCATCGACATGTACAAAGGGAAGAAGAGACATGAAGTGCCTCCTCACATCTACTCCATCACTGACAATGCCTACAGGAACATGATGCAAGGTATTCTCCCAACACACACTTCCAACTTCATCTGAGGTGTGTTAAAGCTGGGGTACCTAACTTTTCCTTCCCATAAATAACACATGTTGTTAGTCCCAGCAGAAAGAGTCTTGTAAAAGTGAAAAGCTGTGAACAAATAAGACCACAACATGTCTTATCTTATCTTATTTGTACCTTTGTACCTTGTCTTCACTTTTCTGTTTGAAAAAGCGAATCTATAGATGTGACAGAGGCCAAAAATACTTGACGATGAAAAGTAGTGATTGAACCAAACTGTTTTAAAAGCGAGGAACGAGTTAGATGTAATTGTATTGCTCTTATATAGAAAAATTCACAACAAATTTTAATTCAATGACAGCTGTTTTAAACGGTTTATTATGTACTGCCAAAGACAACCTGTTTACAAAAGTAGCCTACATTTGTATTAGTCATAGTTAGTAAGTGAGTAAGTAAGGAATGTATTATTTATACAACGCCTTTCACAGACCAGAGTCACAAAGCGCTTTACAATTGTGGCATTTGTCTCTCACTCCACACAGAGGTGGGAGCGGGGTCCCCGTACAGAAGGCGCATGCCAGAACTATTGTACCTATTTTTAGTTAGTGATGTTTATGACTCATAACTCAGAGTCCATGATGTGGTGTCTTTGTATAGATTTACACCTGCATACATCACAGATTACAGAAATTAAATGAATGAACCAATGAACAGATAAGTACCTGCTGTGCACCTGCAAAATACAGACAGTTGTAGCAATGTATTTTTGAATTCAGAAAATTATAAATTACTCAAACATACGTGAATCACCCCAAAACAACTTTTACTGGGAGAATTAGAAGAGAACACATTTAAAGCATTGCTAAAATAATATTGAAAGTCTATTTGCATCGTATGTCACCCTAAAATAAAGCTATATTGATGATACTTTGTAGATGTTCTGGCTCATTTGAGAGTCGTGTGGAGGTGGTGATCGCTGTTTGCCAGACTTTGTGCTTACAGTAAATTCTCTTTTGGCAAAGTCAGTGGTTTGAGATCATTGTTTCCCATCGAGAGCTGCGTCTGTGTTCAGGGGTCGTGCCCACTCGGCCCCGTGCTGACGCGGCCATGTCCCAGTGGAGGCCGCATCTGGAGGCTGAGAGGCTGAGAGGCTGAGATGGGTGGAGGGCAGTCAAACATTTCCTGTCTCCAAATACCACTCTATATGTGCTGTACACGCTCAGTCACATTATCTACAGAGCTTTAATATGAAGGGATTGAGAAATGTTTACTGAGGCTACTTTATGTTGTTCATTCATTTTCACACAGTACCCAGATAGCAAAATTGTTGTGGGCCCAGATGTGGCCCACAACACAGGTGTTGATGTGGCCCACATACCGCGTGGATGTCCGGCGATAGCATGATTCTAACTCGTATGCCAGATGTGGCCCACATCTGAACCTCATTAGGGCCATATATTTACCAGATCTTTACCACATCAAACACAAGTGGCCCGAGCACGGGCCAGAGAGGGGGCATCTCTGGCCCACATCCGGCCCAGTTATGCTCTGCCACAACCAGCTTTTTCATCGTGGCCCAGATTTGGCCCACATACCGCGTGGATGTCCGGCGATAGCATGATTCTAACTCGTATGCCAGATGTGGCCCACATCTGAACCTCATTAGGGCCATATGTTTACCAGATCTTTACCACATCAAACACAAGTGGCCCGAGCACGGGCCAGAGACGGGGAATCTCTGGCCCACATCCGGCCCAGTTCCGCTCCCAGATTTGGCCCACATCTGAACTTTATTAGGGCCATATGTTTACCAGATATTTACCACATCAAACACAAGTGGCCCGAGCACGGGCCAGAGACGGGGCATCTCTGGCCCACATCCGGCCCAGTTACGCTCTGCCACAACCAGCTTTCTCATCGTGGCCCAGATTTGGCCCACATACCGCGTGGATGTCCGGCGATAGCATGATTCTAACTCGTATGCCAGAGGTGGCCCACATCTGAACCTCATTAGGGCCATATGTTTACCAGATCTTTACCACATCAAACACAAGTGGCCCGAGCACGGGCCAGAGACGGGGCATCTCTGGCCCACATCTGGCCCAGTTCCGCTCCCAGATGTGGCCCACATCTGAACCTCATTAGGGCCATATGTTTACCAAATCTTTACCACATCAAACACAAGTGGCCCGAGCACGGACCAGAGATGGGGCATCTCTGGCCCCACATCCGGCCTAGGTCCGCTCCCAGATTTGGCCCACATCTGAACTTTATTAGGGCCATATGTTTACCAGATATTTACCACATCAAACACAAGTGGCCCGAGCACGGGCCAGAGACGGGGCATCTCTGGCCCACATCCGGCCCAGTTACGCTCTGCCACAACCAGCTTTCTCATCGTGGCCCAGATTTGGCCCACATACCGCGTGGATGTCCGGCGATAGCATGATTCTAACTCGTATGCCAGAGGGCCCACATCTGAACCTCATTAGGGCCATATGTTTACCAGATCTTTACCACATCAAACACAAGTGGCCCGAGCACGGGCCAGAGACGGGGAATCTCTGGCCCACATCTGGCCCAGTTCCGCTCCCAGATGTGGCCCACATCTGAACCTCATTAGGGCCATATGTTTACCAGATATTTACCACATCAAACACAAGTGGCCCGAGCACGGGCCAGAGACGGGGCATCTCTGGCCCACATCCGGCCCAGTTATGCTCTGCCACAACCAGCTTTCTCATCGTGGCCCAGATTTGGCCCACATACCGCGTGGATGTCCGGCGATAGCATGATTCTAACTCGTATGCCAGATGTGGCCCACATCTGAACCTCATTAGGGCCAAATGTTTGCCAGATATTTACCACATCAAACACAATTAGTGGCCTGAGCAAAAATGTGACCCACACTCAATACCACATGATAAATGCATTAATAAATCAAATAATAAATACATTTGAAAATGTGTTCATATTATTTATTAACAAAAGTTGAAAAATGTGAAACAAATTATCTTAATAAAATATTAAATGAAAAAAAGGACAAACTAACAAAAACAAAAAGGCAAATCAGGAAATTTCAACATGAACACAATTTTACAACAGGCCTCAGTCCTGGAATTGCCTTGCGTAAGACGCCTCAACACTCGGCTCACGCCGCTTCCGGCCTTCTCTCTCTCTCCTTCCCCCATCCCGGTCAGGAGCAAGGTGCAACCATCTCTTCATTAGCATTTCCACCTCCTGGTTGGTTGCCCGGCTTGACAGAGGGTTATTTCTGACAGTCTCTTAAAAGAAGAATAGATGTAAAATTAGTGTAATAACGTGTGCCGAAACCAAAAACATAATAACAGCCAATTAAAGCCAATAACGTAATATATTTGTGTGGCAACAACAATGTATTACTTTATTGGCCTTATAAAAAACAATTATAAAATAAATTGCCCAAAAAGAACCCTCCCCCCATAAAAAATAAAAAAGAATATGACATAATGTGACAAAAACAAAGCAAAAAAAAGTGTAATTCACAGAAATACAGTCAAACCGTATCAATCTTCAAAAAAAACATTTATCAATAAGCTAGTTCAACAGTCACGATTACAGTCGTTTTGGTCACAGTTCACAGCAACCGAGACTGTTAACAAAGCCAGAGTCTCATCACGGACCAACCAATTTGGTACTTTTAAACATATTTACTTGGCTCAAAGTTGTTTTAAAGCGATGCGCTCTGGAGGGTTCAGATAATTATTGGGAAAACAAAACTATGTGAATGCACACTGCGCCCACTTGAGGAAACACTACATTATATTATCTCAATCTGAGGAGCAGCTACCTCTAACCTGAATGCAATCTGCGTATGTGTACTGAGAAAGCTGATATAGCTTCTTCTCAATGGCAGTCTTCAGATAGGTAGTCATGCCACTTTTAACTAAACATCAACTAACGTTCATCCTATCCCCCAGCTGATCAGGGTAGACTTCATCCAAGTCTCAAAGCTTTGACAAAAAAAGCATAAAAATAGCGGAAAAAAAGGATGAAGAGCAATAAAAACTGTGACATAAAAGCAATGGACTTTAATATTCTTAAGAAAAAGTATTAAGTAAAAAAAATAAAATAAAAAACACTGATGTACGTTCTTCTTGCATTTTTCTCACATTTCACTCGTATTTTTGTCACTTGTTTCTCATATTTGTGAAGAAAGAAAAATTATTGACAGAAATGTGTGAAAAATACTATTGAGTTCTAGCAAAATCATTCTGCCCTTTGTCAAGCCACAGTTTTGTTTGCAATTTACACTTATGAAAATACTGATTTAATCTTGTGTTGTGTGGAAAAATACATGAGAAAACAATGATTGCACATTTAATTGCAATCGCACACAACATTTTCCCCTTGTTCTCCAGTGAAATGAAGAGTCTGTACTTACAGAAAAGCCAAGGTCAGGCTGTAGAGCAGGTCTTGTTGGCTGAGATGAGTGGTGAGTTTGGGTTAATCTAAAACAGGAATATTAAATTTAGGTTAATGCCAATGCTAATGCTCTACGCAAAATGGACTTTTCCTGACATCCACTTACGAAACAAAAACAAACACACTGCCAGGACACAGTATTTTTTGTGCAAAGTAAAAAAAAAAAAAAATGTAAACAAAACATACCTAGGAATCATATCGAACGAACTATAACTATCTACAATATGTACACAAACCACAAATCATTTTTAAGGATCAACATGAAGGAGGGGCAACACAACAAATCCATTAGCAAATGGTAAACGAACACATTTCTGGATAGAGTCCAAACTTACTAACGAAAAGTCTGAGGACAAATTATTGACAAGATAAATTCCCAGCTCTCTTGAGTCCAGAGGATAATCAAAGAATGAATGCAACTGTTGATATTTATAGCAAAGTAAATATTCATTTGAATCACAGACAATTATGTTCTTAACAACAAATATGTTTTTATCCAACTTGATGCAGTTGTCCCTCTCTGCTAGGCTAACTTTAAT